TATTCTTTACATCAAAATACATTTTTTTTTGTGCACATGTCAAGGCCAGAATTTTTTGGGTATTTTAAGACCAGAAAGCTGAAAAAAGGCAATATTTCTCAATTAAATAATATGATCCATGCAGGGCTTTACATTTTTTAAGCTGACCAGTTCAAAGCCAAATATGATAAAAATAATAAAAATTTAAGAATCGACCTTCTCCGATTTGCACGAAACTTTGCATAATTATGTGTAATGGACAATCATTCATATTTTTTCAAAAAATAGGCCCTTTTTGAAAATGGCGTCATAGACATTTTTCAATAAATTGTAGCACTTAAATGTCACTTCTGATCGAAATGACGTCTGAGACAAAGTTGATAGTAAAATTGATACTAAAAAACCGATATCATGAGTTTATCAAAAACAGAGTAAGTTTTGATATTTGAGGCATTCCACGAAGGTTCGCAAATCGATCCTGACCGATCATTTCCAATTACGCTGAAACTTTGCACAGTTGTTCCTTTTTAGTAAAGACGCCATTTTGTGCTCTCAGTTTTTCATATTGAATTACGACTACTTTTTGAAAAGGGCCTGTGTAAAAATAGTACTAATGAGTTTAAAAATATATATTGCCGAAACGCTTTGTTCGATTGATTTGGAGTCTAGAGCAAAGTTGTAGATATTATTTTGGCAATTGTGTAAAAAATATACACTGTAAAAATTTCGTTTGTATCAATGAAAAAAATTATATTTATTATTAAAAAAGTTAATTTCTCGTTATAAGCCTCATTGAAGCTCATAATGTTTGCTACTAACTGGCAAAGTTTGGTGATGGTAAACTCAAAAACAAAAAAGTTATGGTTTTTTGAATATATCACGATTTTTACATTTTCATTAAAAACACATTTTTTTTAACCGTGTATATTTTTTAAAGAATTGCATTTTAATTTTGCACAACTTTTCCCAAGACACCATAGCAATCAAGCAAGCCGTTTTTGCAATATAGATATGTTTATTTAATTAGTGTTTTTCTACACAGGCCCTATTGAAAAGTTAGGATTCATTACATCTGATACCATGAAAAGGTATCGTTACTAACAAAACTAAAAAATTCATTTGATGAATATTGAGCTAGAACTAAATAAAAGTGAAATGATGCTCAAACTAGCGATTAATTTTCTTTTTTATTCATTGTCTTCAATTTTCCATAGTTGTATCAGTGATCTTAACGGTAATAAGTCAAATACTCAACACTGTAGTAGTGAACACCAAAAACATCTGTCTGTACCTAATGTAGAAATTATACCTATCGATCTGATACTTAAATGAGTTTGAATGGTGAAAACAAGCAGTTGATCACAAAGATTGCTTTTTACCGCATACATCTTAAAAAGTTATCAAATTAAATTCGTCAATCTGTAGAGAATTGCTCATTTATTTCATAGAAATAGCTCGAGAGTGCTTTGTAACGCTCAGTTTCAGATTTACAAAGAACTTTCGTTTAAATAAAGCAGCATTTCAGTACATTATTCAGGAGATTCGAGACGAATTTCCTGCTAAAAGGCATGGCGGACTATCGGTAGAGGACAAACTTGCGGCAGCTTGAGATTTTTTGCAGAAGGGAGCTACCAGCATGGAGCTGGCAAGGACTACGATGTAGCCATAGCCCAATCAACATTCTCTAAAGTGCTCAGTGAAATGCTGGTTGTTCTGGAAAGAAAGATTTACCCTAAGTGGATAACATTTGCTATGACAGATCAAGAAATGAGGGAAGCAAAACGAAATTTTTACGATAAATCGGGAATACCAGAAATCATAATGTATGTAGATGGCACACATTTCGAAATTATCCCCCCAACTTTAAACCGAAACCTTTACTACAACAGAAAAGGATTGTATAGTCTTAGTGCCATGATCGTAAGTAAAACACATGGAAAATTTATGTTTACTATATTAAAAACGGCAATCTTGACACAGATGTACTCCACATAACAGGAATTCAGAATCCCAAGAATTCATGGACTTCTGCAACATGTATGAGATAAACTACTCTAAGCTTTCAGGGCATAACAGGTTATTATTTAATGTATTGCTTCAGAGTGTGATCAAATACAAAGGCCATATATCTTACTGCAAACGACTTAATTCATGTTCCAGGATTCTCTGTTTAACTTTAAGTTTATCCAGCGTGATTTTTTCCAAGGCCAAGTTGTGTCTTCTTTGTTCTTTGAAATTTTCACTCAAAACTTTGTGAATGTCAGTCAATCGCTTAGAGATCTGCCGGTTGTAGTATACTAAATCACCCGAACTTTTGCTGTACGATTTCAATGCATCTGTAACAGAATCATGAAATTTTCTTTGATTGTCCACAGCAAACTATCTTCCGCTTCTTATGTGGTGTAGAATCTTCGTTGAGGTCGTTATCCTCATCCGGGATTTCGTTTTCTTCATTTTCGACATTGCTGTTGAAGGATGCATCCCGATTTTGCTGATCCGAAGCAGACCCGAGCCCAAAGCTAATAGAATCGTCGATGCCCTCAACTGCTGGTACCAGCCCTGCCAGTGCGACAACACGCTCCGCCAGTCCACTAAGCTGAATTAGCTTACTAGAACCTCCTCCCGTAGCTAGCTGCTCACGGCGGTTGTGAGCTAGCTTGCGCTTGGTATTCGACTTGAAATCGAACCAAACCTAAAGTAAAAAAATAATAAGCACTATTTCATATTTATCGATACTTTATGAAATTAATCAGTGAATACCTGTTTCCAAGCCGTTGAATCCCTAGTCGGTGCTATAAGACTGTTGAGTTCTGATGCCACGGCTCCCTAAAACGGTGTAGTATTAAACTTGGTGAAGCCTTTAGCAATATCCAGTTGGTCTTCCAATAGCTCAAGAAGTGTATTAAACTGCTCCTTAATAGTACTTTTACTTTTTGGAGGCGAACCAGACCAAGGCTGAATGCCTCCCTAATAAAGATAAATAATAATAATACTTTTACTTTGTGACTGCTTTGCCCTAAGTGAAACAGAAATTTTGTTGAGAATGTAATTAATGGAGAAATCTATTTCATTGTATTTTTTGTACTTTCATCGTTGCAAAATTGGGGCTACGCACAGGGAAATTCACGGAATGTGGATCACAAAGTGGAGCTGGTTTCTCTGCATTTTTTCCTTTTTACAGGTGTAGCGACGAAGATAGTCACGACGAATGACGGTAACTGAATTCTCACTGTTCTTCTCACAGGCTACTTCGTAGAAACCGGTGCAAATCTGGTGATTCCGACTTCAGCACTAACCGAAATTTTGAAAACTTTCTTCTTAGCTGAAACGTAAAGCAAACCCAATAACCACTTTCGATTATGCGATTCGCGAGTTCCGAGTGACGTTTCTCTGGTTGACACAAAAAAACACGTTCGAACGGAAATGGGAATTGGAAAATTTGTTCGAACGAACGATGTTCGAAAATTTTAATGGTTCGAATTGGTTCGAACGAAAACAGAAATACGAATGTAGGATACGTTCGAACGTTTTCAATTTGAACGAAAACAAAAATAAGAGTGAATAGCTCTACAATGTGTGACTCTTTATCAAATTCAATGGTACTTATGGAAAGGGGAATACATTTAGAAATCATCTTTGATAGAAACATTTCATTTTTTTGTTAAAACCCGTTCAAGAAAGAGATGTAAATCGTGGGTTGTGCTTAGTAGGACGGAAATTAGATCTAATCAGATCTTCTAGACTGAGTAAAATTTTTGTCAATTTTCCTGATTTTCCAGCAGATTTTTTAAGTTTTACATAAGAAAATATGTTCCTGAGTTCCTGCACTTTTTGCGATTATGAGAAAACTGAACTCAAATTTTGTTTGATCTCATTAGCCGTGCACTCACATGTCATACCGGTTGGTGAAAAACTCATTATCCGCCATTTCTTCATTTTTTGTCAGTAAGGAACAAAAGGACAAATGAACAAAAAGACAAACGAATCTTAAACGGTCAAAAGGTCGAATGAAACTTTAAGGGACATAAGGTCTAATTGCACAAAAAGAACAGTTTCAGGCCAAACAGCATAAAAATGAATTTCAGACTCGGCCATCTCGAATATGTTATTCAATTATTTTGAAATTAAAAAAAAAAAACATTTGAAGTTTTCGCTAAGTAAACGTCGCATTTAATCAAAACAACGTTTGAGACAAAAATGCAGGAGAAAACAAAGTCTTTCTAGAAAAAAAATATGCATAGAGCAAACAACCCTATTGATGTGGTACGTTACAAGCTTTAGAAGCCTATTCCAGGTCTCTATTCGCCTTGACACCAGTCCCGAAGTGACGTTTCTTCATACACATTTTGACAGTTCCTTATGGGGTTTTGCGTTGGAGTGAGATAATAAGAAAAAGTCCGTCATGTTTCACACATAGACTGACAGTTACATATGAGATTTCTCCATAGGAGTAAAGAGTTACAGAGCTCTTGTCAACGCCAATATACACAGCAATAGGCTCCTAACGCTTATCACTTCTTCATTCCTTTATTTAACGTCGGTCTCTATTCTGCAATCTAGTGCCAATCAACGACGGATATCGATTGCTATCCATTGACGGCAATCAAATGCGCATGAAAGCAGCTTCCACACCTGCGTAGGATATCATACCCATTCAACACACATGGGCCGGGACCAACGGCTTTACTTCCCTTCCGAAGGAAGACGTGACCAGAGATTTTTAGGCCTCAGAAAAATCCCCCTGACCTCGGCTGGGATTGAACACAGAGCCATTGGGGTGAGAAAGCAGTCACGCTTACTACTACACCATCGGTGGCGACTATAACGCTTATTACGTATCGCAACAATAGCCCTGCATACTTTGTTTAAAAAATAGTTAATTTGGAGAAAAAATCCAAAAAGTTTTATAATTAATAACAAAAAATGTGATTTGTCGACTTGATAACTGATCTTATTCCATTTGATTCAAAGTGTGATTGCATCAAAAATTCAACATCTAATTAATTTGTTTTCTATTCCAGGCGACACCTCATCCTCTCTTGTCAAGGTAGACTGAACATTTTTCCATTTGATGATCCGCTGTGTTCATTCGCATTAGAAAGTAGTAAGTATACTAATATATCATGGGATTTTGATGAATGAATAGAACATTGCACCAAAATCCCTCAACAAATAAGTACTACATATTCCCATCACCTGCGACTTGTAGTGCTTCGTTGTGTACAGGTAAAACCAGTAATCGGCGTCATTGAAGTAGATGCCGTGCTCGCATGAAACAATTCTACCGACTAGTCGCAGTGGGCACTACGGTAAAGGTGTCAAGGATTGAACACATAGAGAAAAAATAATCCACGGCTGTGGTAACGTCAGCTATTTTCCATTTGCTTTCCTCATTTAGCTCAATCTTAATTGAAATCGCGCTTGGAAAGCATGCAAATACGATCTGAGATTAGGGTTTTTACCTAATTTCTGTCTTATTATGTAAAGCCTGCGTATATCCTCTTATTGTTAAATGGATTTGAACAAACATTATAACTTTTTATCACTGTACTTGTTTTATCTCAAATTCGTCATGTGAAATCCGTCCTAACGTATAGATAGTTCATTAGATTTTCATCGTTACATAACGGCACAGAAATTGGATTTAATAGTAATTGTTAGCTCCAACCGGTACTATCCTCGTATTAAATCCCTACCACGAGTGTCGGGCTACTTTGATATCGACGTCAACTTAAAAAAACATATGGTAGATCTTCCAACCAGGGCCAGTATTTAAATTTAATGCAATTTTCAGCCTACTGCCATTAGAATTGTTCGCATCGTTTAGAAATAAGAAGGGTATGAATTTCTTGTTCATTAGTGATACATTGCAGAAAATCTGGCAATTAGACAATCGATTTAGCAGTAATTCTACGTAAATATCACTAACGGCTGCAGTAGGCGTGGTCCATGCTTAGGATTGTGTAGCTTTGTATATACCCAAGCAACACACATGTTATATAAAAGTTTATATAACTTTTGTATAACTGGTTTTGGTTGTATAGTAGTTTACTCCATATAATTCTGTGAATGTGAGTTATTTGGGTATTTGTTATCTTTACTCTCAACAATTTCAGTCTAACTCTGATTAGTATTGCAACACTAGAACTAAAGTATCCAAACAAAACCGTCCATGCTTCATAATTATCAACTGGTGGGGTGCTGAAGACCTTACCATCTCTTTTATTTTTTCACTTTTTAATATAACAGCAAATGTGACGTGGTTTGGAATATCGTAGACAACAAATGTAGATAACAAATTCACATTAATAGACCACGTGTATGTTTACACTCCTGAGCGGAAAAGCAAATGAATGGCAGAGCTTCCGGTGATTTACTAAAAATTCTTCATCAGCCCATTACAAACATCTGTATTTAAGGTATTCGTTATCGGGGATGACTTCAAGACTTCATCACTAATAAAAAAAAATGACGACCGTAGGGGACTGGGGGTGGATTTCGTTGAAGTGTCAGTTTAAAATATACATTATGTCTGTCAAACCCCGAGACAGCTTATCAGCAAACCATGGGTGACTACGCTACGCATAACTCAAGAGAAATTTTATTTAACTTTTGATTACAGTGGCTGAAGGACCGGTCCCTCGAGCGACTAAATTAGTGCTGATTTCAAAGTGTATTAAGAGTATGTGCGAGGGCCGATCTTTACTGCTTAGACGCTGGTGACGCTGGAATAACATCACCTGGACATATTATGAGTAGTTCCTAAATGCTGACTTGGGCCAAAACCCATCGTATGACACATTAAGACTGTGTTCCATTGGGTGAATTTTCACTTAAATTTGACAGATGGACAATTTTCAATTAAACCTGCTGTACTACACTCAATTCTGACCGACCATGAATCAATTTTGACATACATCTTCTCGAAAATCGGATGATCAAAAACAGAAGGATTTTCGAACATTATAATTTATTTTCTAAGTGTCAAATTTAAGTCACATGAGAACTAAATTATAAGATCATTAGCGGTCATATTGAGTTCTCAGACCCACATTGGTCACATCCGCGAATGTTCCAGATAGCTTCGGAAAATCCAAAACCTTACTAAACAAAAATATTTCATATCATAATCATATCATTATCACATGATAATTTTATATAATTATTTTAAACGACTAAATTGTGTACCAGTTTGGCCAAACCCGGCCAAGTCTCAAAATCCAGGAAGTGCCCAGAATTTGAAATGAATTAAAACTTATCTTGTGATGCATCATATCGCCTGAAAGTTCAAAAAGCAAGAGTACTTTATGACCGGGAAAGTGCTAGAATCTGGAGTTAACTGAAGTAACATCAAATCACATAAAAAATTTAAATGGATATTTTTTGGTCGCTATTGAAAATTTTAGTCGATTGCTGATTTTATGTATGTACAGTTCGAAAAAGCAATGTAAATTTCTGTTCAATATGATGCACATAAATGGAGCGTCACATATCATATACGTTTACATTATATATCATGTAAAGTTTTGACACATTTCATGCAATGTAGCAAATATATATAGCCCATCTTTGTAAACATCATTGTTTGCAAGTTGCTCGGTTGCGTGAAATGAAATACAAGTCTACGTGAATGAATGTTTACATCACATTTAAAATTCAGAATTTTTGTCTGTGTGGGCCCAAATTAGGGGCATTTAGGCCGACATTACATCCATTTCCCCTATATAATCATTTGTCATTGGCATGTTCCAAGTGCTCCCTGTTCAAAATCTGCCATGAGTCTAAATGAATGTAGATAAATGTGGACTTTAGCAATTTTGTCGGAATTTAAAAATAAATCAGTAAGAAGGATCAAATTTCGCCATTGGTGGATAAGTTCAGGTTTTCTTAATACATATGGTATAAATTAGCACAGTAGAAAAAAATGCATAATATCCTACCAGATACTCAATTTGTGTACCTCGATATACTTTTTGAAATATTCTCCGACGCTTATAACCTTGACGAAACAATCGAGTATGAATTTCACTTCATCTTTAATCAGATTTTGAAAAATAATTAGCCGTAAGAAGGATATCCTGCTTTAGATTCCAATTAAATGCAGGTCGCCTCGTTAAAGGCTCCGATGACGCGAATTATTTTTCCGCTTGGAATTGTCTCATAATTAAGTGACTAAGCTTTCCTTGATGCCAATGCTGAGGGACCACTTGGTTGACAGACTCTGGGTGCCACGTGCCGTGCTTTTTCCAGAGCTAGCTGTTCAGATGGGAGGGCGTAAAATTTTCTCCGTAATTAACGCTCGATTTGCCGATAAAAGAGACATTATTTCTCCTCGAGGTGAGTAAGCTGTAAAGATTGTTTGTAGAACGATGTTGATGAGGGAAATGAACATTATAGATAATGTGGGTAATACTACCGGGGATATGAACACAATAAAATCATTCAAACAGCAAACAGGAATAGGACCTCGACTATCAAGTCGAGGATATTTTCGGGATGGTAATTTTCTCGACTTGCCTGTAATTTCGTGCTTACTACACATGAGTACGAGCATTATTGACCGAAAGCAAAACATATTACAAGCCCGTCATGATGTGAGCTTGTATGTGTGATTGTTTTCTCAAGTGTTTTTGTTACGCATAAAGTAGTAATGATTGAAAATCGAAGCAATCACCAAGAAGTGAGAATCTTGCTGTCGCAATATAATGATAACGACATCGAGGATAATATCACCCTCTTCCCTCGGTGGATCATCAACGTCCGCACTGGCATCTGTCATGCTGGCACCTGTCATTTATTGAGCCCTGGTGGTGAAGCTGACTGGGGACTTCCGCCCAACAGTTCCAATGTGCAAAATGATCACATAAGGGTGGAATATCCATTGCTTTGTTCGAGGAATTTATTAGTGGGATATCTTGTTAGTTAGATATCTTTGGTAAAAATAAAAGTATTAATTGCACTATTTTTTTTTTTTTTTTTTCTTTTCTTTTCTAAAATTGTTCAACATTGGGAAAATCAACATTTCCCGTTTTTCTGCATACAAAACTAATCACCATAGCTTGTTTTACTAGCAGCATCGGTTGCAAAAATCAATCATCAATGGAGATCCATTAGATTGGGGCTCTTTTCTTTCATTTCTCCGGCGAGTAGACATTAATTTTGTTTGTTTGAATTGTGGCTTAAGTTTCCGGGATTCGGTGCACAACGGTATAAGATGCGATGTTTTTCAGGCAATTCCCAAAACTACGGTCGTCAAAATCGCTTTTTATCACGCTGATAAAATAGTGTAGCAAAATAGAAACACACCACATAAAAAACACAATTACCAACAGGGTTCTCTTGTTGAACAAAGTTTTCCCTCTCCTCTGGAGTCTGATTAATGACATTTGTATCCTTGAGACAAGTCCAACCAAAGCTAGAAAGACACATATTTCATATCTCAGTGTCATTGCGTTGTCGTTGTCGTGTATGTCGGGCGGTTGACTCAGCTGCACAAACTTTGGACAGAGCATGGGGATGATAAATGAACTTCCCGTCTGAGCACTGCACATACAGTGCTGCTCGATGTCATGGCAGCACAGGCTGGATTTCATTAAAATATGCCCATTTCCACATGATGTAACTTTTTCATAATCCTTTGTCGGAAACTGAGAAGCAGTAATTTCTCCATGCTAGGTAGGTAAAAATGATCGATAAAACTCATATCAATGTTTTCAACTTACAATGTTCGTACTGCAAATTTTTTAATCAGTTACATCAAGTCTACCGTTCTGATTCAAGCTTCGGATACACAAAACTTTTCGAAAAAAAAATGTTGTTTAAATAGAGCTACCAAAATTCAAGTTTCGGACAGAAAAGATTTAAATTTCGGACAACGCTTGAACGTTTGGAATCATTCTCATTTTTTAGTGGACACCCGTTAGTGTAATTAAATTTAATTGATTTAGTTTTTGCAAACTTTTTGTCCCAGAATTGCTGCTCCATCTCTCAACATTCTCTTTTGTGATCCGGTATGATCTTGCTCACGGTTGATCTATTGTTTAATGCGATAAGCTAGTTGTTTGTCTAAGCTAGTGTGGTGTGTTCGAAGAAGAAAAGATACCG